GAATTTTCGAAGATGTATTCGAAAGAACGAGGGATAATACCTTTGTGGCTTTGTCCAATGTTGTYCCATCCATAGTATGAGTTTTACCACTTCCAGTCTATAAAATTTAACCAGTTAGTAATTACGAGTATATGCTAATAACAATTATTTAAAAAAATAAACAAAAATTAATTATCACCTGTCCATATGTAAATATCGTGCTATTCATACCAGATAAAAACCTGAATATAATATGTATCCATATATATATATATAAGTAAAAACGATGTCTTATTGTATAAGAATATGCAATAATAATACCATTAATAAGTTATAATATAATGGATAAAATGTGGGAGTTTTTTCTGTATTCTGGATGATTGTATGGGGCTGTATTCTATTTCCTAAATATATTATTGTAATATAATTTCAAAAGTGTGACATATTTTTTTTTATGAAATCATATTCTCTTTATTGATATTGTAATGATAAGTGCCACATATTTCATCATCTAAATATCTAGATTCACTAATGTACCTATTTAAATTTAACATTATTTTACTTTAATTCCTGATTCATGACTCATGATTAATAATTTCATAGAATTCAAAAATTTACTTATTAAATATGTGTATTTGCATGTATGGATTTTAGTTGGTTTGTGTTAATAAAATTATTGAAATTATAACTTTTTGACATTAAAATTTTAATGCGTATTAATGTATTAGTTTCTATATTATGTCACACACGGTTAATTTTGTATAAACACAACTAATAACGATTCCGAAATATTACCACTTTCCTATAAACGGAAAAGTTAAAGGTGTGCTGGAGGGTTACTCGTATATCTTCTCTATAAACGAGAATTAGTATATGTTAAAGAGTAAACGTTATTAATTAGATATATTACAACTGTCGACATGAATTTAATCTAAATTCCAAGCGATATACTTTTATGTTTTGGAAGAAAATATAATATTTTTCAAAAAAAACTATACAAATTTTTAAAGACTTGCAGTTATATTTTACAAATTTATTTACACCAAATCAACTATTTTTAACCAATTTGAGCATATAAATACTTCAACAAAATTTTTAAGTAATTTGTTAAAACATTAGTCTCATTTAATAATGTAATAAATATAGCAAATTAGTAAATATACAAATAATTTATTATTCAATTGAACTCGCTTTTAGCCTCTAGTACAAACAATGTTCTTTAAGTTTACATTTTGAAGCATGTTTTTATTAGGCATATATCTATTAAACTGATGGCTTTCACAAACTACATTTCTTTAGATACCTATTTTAGATTCAAACTAGATATGTATCTTACTATTTTAATATTGTATACATTGAATATTATAAATGTAGATACTTTTATAAAAAAAAAAGAATAATCTTTTGAAAACAATTAAATTTGCTTTAAGTTTAATTTACCATGCATATACCTTGATTGCTCTCTAATTTTAATATATTAAAATTTACTAAATATTACAACAATTTTTTGTCTTTATATCAGTGAATGTTGATCCTTACATATCAAAATTGTACACATTTCAAATATCTTTACATTCATTAACCTTACCTGACAGATACGGAAAATACTTCTAAATACGTTACAAAATTAAGAACAAAAATGGAAATAAAAAAGTTTTCGATCTCGGTCTAAAATCTATAACCCTATTCACCACTCAGAATATATTACAATAATTTTTTTATGATGCAATTGACATATTTAAAATACTTGATAATTATGTTTGATGTCATAATTGGGACTTTAGTGTTGTTATAATTATATTAAAAACTCATATTATAATATTAATAATTATATAAAACTTTATTTTGTATATTATACATGGTTTTTACTTATTAAAGAAAAAAAATTCATAAAAATGTAGTTCAAAAATTAAATTGCTTACACAAATGTGATGTTATGTAAATATTGTGTGACTTCCAAGCGATAATGGCTTTACACTCCATGCTAAAGATGACCTCCTATCGAACTATTATTTTTATTTATTTTTTTGTTCAAAGACATTGAGCAAAAGGCACAATTATTATTCAAAAAAGGAAAAATTGATAATACAAATAATAATAGAATACATTTTTCAATCAATTCAGTCTAAATTGTCTTGTTCTATTGTATATGTACATATTTGCTCATATTTGTGTTTAAAGTTTTTAAGGTCTCTAAGTCTAGCTTTAACATTTAGTCTTTAATGTAATAACATCCAAGCCCTATTTATTATAATTTAATATTGGATTGATTATATCTTTATGTTGTGAAAAGGTGATGTTCTTTCAAAATCTGTTTGATTTAAATGCATCATTTAGCATTTTGTTGAACGCGAAATTTAATCATACATGTTTTTGAAATCGATGTTGTCATTTTGCAGTGTTTAGAAATAGTATATCTAATATTAAGTTGATTCAAACAAAATGTTAAAGTATAAGTATGTTATTACTTATTAGTTATTAGTTATTACTTATTATTTAAATTAAAAAATATATTTAGACACCTACATTATTAGTCAAAATTATTAGTCCGTTTTTTTTAATCTTGGGTCGATAAATGTTGATTTTGAACTTATTTTATCTCCTTCTAATGATCCCAATCGTCTGGATACTGAATTTGATAATGCTGTCTTTAATAATTGTCTTGAATTGGTTTTTGGTTTGATATTTCCAAGTGTAAATTGTAGACCTCGTATAAGTGGTATAACCATCGATAATGTCGGATATTTTTCGCCAGATAATTCTGTTGTGATACTTTCAAATGGTTTTAAAAGTGGTATACAGTATTTTATAAGTTCCCATTCTACGGCAGTTAACCCGTTTGGTGCACGTGGAAGTAACGTTATAGCAGCGGACAAAGAAGCCTTAATTTGGAGTCTTTCCATCAAGATTAATTTGGAGTTCCACCTCGTAGACACATCTTGTTTGACTTTTAACTGAGGTAGACCCATTTGGTTTTGGTAMATTTTTAATTTTTCATTAGGAGAAGTGCTGTGTTTAAAATGTCCTACAATTGTTTTGCATGTTTGTAATACTTGACTAAGTTCACTATTGTTGTTTATGGCTTCATTAACTCTTAAATTTAGCGTATCTGCCACACAAGGATGATGAATGATGATGTTTATAAAGATGTTGGTTAATAGCGTTTTTAATATTTGCTCCGTTGTCGGAMACTACAGTGAAAATTTTATTATTTATTTCCCATTCATCGAAAATTAGTCTAAGTGAAGCAGCAATATTCTCCTCAGTATGCAAATCATGTACTTCCCTTGTTGCAAGAACTGGTGAGTATAAAATACCGAATATGAAATGGCATGTACCTAACTGTAATATAGGCCTTATTAGAGTCGGATGTCCACATATCTGTAGTAACTGATACATTGAGAACAGTTCTTAACATACTCTTTAATTTTGAAACTATAATGTCATATTCAGTAGGTAATAATTTTGTCGATAACAACTTTCTACTCGGAGGAGTATACATATAGAGGCTATAAAATGTTTGTATATTCTTTAAAACCAATATTGTCTACGATAGATAAAGGCTGATAATCAGAAACAATCATTTTTATTAACTCAGATTTATTGTCAGCATCACTAAGTTCATTTTTTTTTTTGCCGAACCATACAGTCTAAGATGGCGTTGACGTTTCATGGGAGGCTCTAAATATTGTTCTAGTGTTGTTAAAGTGTTATTAAGTAAAGAAGAAGAAATTGATGAAGTAGACGGGGCCGTTTAATTGTTGACAGTTTGTAATTCGGAATCTGGATCTCCCTCATTTACAAATGACGTATTTAAAGTCGATGGGTGTTTTCGTTTCAAATGATCTATATTCTATAGAATATATATATAAATTAAAAACATATTTTTATGAGAAGTATTGTATATTTTTAATGACGAGATTAAAATTAAAGTTTTAATACGTTTTAAAAAAAATTAATGAATTTTAGATTTTGAGCAAAGCAAAATATTGGTTACAATAATTTATGTTTTTAATTTTGTCTGTACAACTTAAAATTCTTTTATCCATTTTCTTTCTATATTTATGGTAGAAAAATGTAGTCTAGTAGTATTTAAAATTAAGCAATATGCAAACATTTTCAATATTAAATTGTATTGGCCAAAACACTAATAACTTACCAGTGTTTTGGACAATAAGCATGATAAGCATACAAATTGAAAATAATTACAACAAAT